TTTGAAGAATTATCTCTTCTTCTTCAATTGCTGAAAAAAAATTAACAAAAAAAAAAAAAGGCAAAGGAAAAATGAGTGCACAAGACTACCTAAGCTGAATTATGTTTCTGCCAGAAGCAGAAAACATCATTGTCCCATCACAGTTCATTTAATCTGAGAGGAAGCACAAATAAAGTTTCTAATTTCTGAAGGAGATGAGAATCCTAATAAAATACATCTGTAGATAGATACGTATTTCAGGTGAAATCTTGAAAACACTACATAAATTATTTCTGTACAATTTACCTTATATGCAGCAAGAAAGATTTGTTTCCCCTCACTCTCTGTTATAGAACTTTATTTCTAACAAAAGAGTATTAGAAAGAGGTATGTTTTATCTGGCTATATCATTCCWGAAAAGGTCTTAAAACAGTATGAAATGAAAGAAAGAAAAAGCACATCCCAATACATGCCAACATAAAAGATGTGCAATGTGTTTTCTGTACTCATTGCCCAATGAATAAGTTTCAAAAAAATCCAATATATACAACAGCACACAGTTCAAAAAGCTCAGTAGGCACTCCTGCATTAACAAATACACAATGTTTTGACCTTGCAAAATTGTTAGCTACATTAGMTCACTTCTCTTGGTAAGTAAAAGATATTTCTACTTGCACATATTATCTTCACATACAAAAGTAAATGGAGCTTTTTAGTGTAAGTACAGTACATTATCAGTGGCTATAATTACAACCTTTTTTCTAGTTTATCCTGCTGGATTTTTTTTTAAATCTCACAACACAAATTTTAAAATATGCAAACCACACCATTTTTGAACGTGAAACACTCAATTTCTTAATTTCAAAATCACAATAGACTCTGACATAAGTTCTATACATATAGAATATTTGCATTTCTGAAAGGTTAGAACAAATCCCTAATACACTGTACTGGTTTTAACTGGGATAGAGCTAATTTTCTTAATAGCAGCTAGTACAGGCTATGYTTTGAATTTGTGCTGGAAACAGTGTTGAAAACTGTATTTCATTACTGCTGATCAGCGCTTGCACAGTCAAGGTCTTTTCTGCTTCTCACCCCACCTACCAACCAAGAGGCTGGGGATGCACAGGAGGYTGGGAGGGGACACAGCTGAGACAGCTGACCCCAAATGACCAAAGGGATATCCAGTACCATGGGGTGTCATGCTCAGCACAGAAAGCTGGGGAAAGTAGAAGGAAGAAGGAACCTCTGGAGTGACAGTGTTTGTGTTCCCAAGTCACAGTCACATGCAATGGAGCTCTGTTTTCCTGACTATAGCTGAACACCTGCCAGCCAGATAAAAGTGATGAACGAATTCCTTGTTTTGCTTCATTCGTGTGAATGGCTTTTGTTTTACTTGTCAAACTATATCTCAAGCCATGAGTTTTTTCACTTTTACTCTTCTTATCTCCCCTTTCCTACCCAGGGTGAGTGGGTGAGTAGCTGGGGGGGCTGAGTTGTTGGCTGGGGTAAAACCATGACATACAAACAGTTCGAGAAGCCATTCAATAAACCCAGAGATTAGTTGCATGACAGAAAATGAGTATGAGCTTTAACAAAGCTTGTTTATATCTGGAGTTTGAAGATCTATAGCTGTCCTTGGATGGCAGTCAGGTCTGCACATTATTGAAGTCAAATAATCAAAGCTTTCATTGCTCTAAATAATCTGCGCAGTCAGTGTTTACTGTTTCAAAGTTATCCTTTGGGACTTGTAAACCAGCAAGAGCATAGTTATCCAAATCAAATCAAACTATTACTGGTTTTCTACTGCTACTGAAAACTTCCAGTAAAAAATGGACCATCACTTTGCCACTGTTTTTTTAAGCATAAAAGAAAGGTCGTCTTTAGCATATGCTCAGGAAAAATGTGGGGTGCAGCAATGAGAGGTTCTGGGAAGAAAAAAAGGATGGCTATATATCAGATAAAGTGGCAGAGATTCACAAAGCTTTGAAGGAGGGGTTCTGGCTTAAGAATGATTATTGAAAGGAAAATAGGGAGAGTGATGATTTGGAGACAGATAAAACTATTGAGAATAGAAGGAAAGGCTACATGCACAGATTATTCCCTCTTCCATGTTTGTTCTGAAGCCAGAACACTGTATCATAGCTWTTATATCCATAAATAAAGTACCAGTGAGAAGACACAGGATATAATGGAGGAAAAAACTATGGAAGCTACAGGAAAGAGAAGAATATCAGAAGGAATGCTAGAAAAAAAGTACATCTTGACCTTATACAGAAAAAATTAGCAATCACAAGGCCAAGGAGTAAAAACAAATATAATGCAAGACATTAAAAAAAAAAAAAACAAAACCAGTTATATTACCAAGTCATCTTTACATCCCTTGTTCCACCCAAATTTAAACTGAACATAATTACTTCATTTTCTTACTCTGCAAAAAGACTTGGAGGAAATTCTGGGATATGGGTTTCCTTTTGTTGCTTTCTGAAATCTTAGTGTGTAGATTCAGTCAAATCAGCAAAATTCCTCTAACATAATAGAACAATGCCAGACCAAGAAACTTTAAGATTTTTCCTTCTGATTAAATTAATTCTTTTTCTGTTTATTCTCTAACATTAGTATAATTTTAGCCCAGTAAATACGTACTTTAATGGCACATGATCAAATGCTTCAGATTTACTTTTTACACTCTTAAACTTTCTGATTTTCTTATTATCAAACAAATTTTCTTAGTGCCAGTATAACTTCTTCCACATGGTAAAGAGAAAGTGAACACTAAAGTTATATATTCCAYAAAAAAAGACAAGGAAATCACCCTTAGAATACTTTTTCTTTGATGGAGAGAAGCAAAGAAGGAAAAAAGGAAAAAAAAGGAGAAAGGAAAAGATAACAAGAGAAAGAAAACAGTAAAGAAAAAATTGCTGACCCTGTGAGGAAATAGAACAAATATCAAGGTTCGATCTCCAGATTGTACACATRCCAATTCATTTATTATTAAAGCATGACATTTCTGAATCCCTTACAACACACTCTGCTAATGAAATTATTCAGATACATACAAGAAATATTAGAAATCAGAATTACTGCAAATATTTTTCCCATAAGATTACTGAGCATAATGAAAACATCATACAACAATTCTTTCAATTTTCTCAGAACTCAAGGAGAACCACAGAAGCTATTGAATTTACTTGTTTACATCTACAGTATGAGACAAGTCATTCYAAGTCTTTTTATTCACATATGAGGTGAAATACTGTCTCTGTTGAAATCAATGAARGTTTTGCTATTGATTTCAATGAAACCACAATTCAGATTAGTGTTTGTACTCTCGCTCATGACTTACAGAAATTCTTAACAAAAAAATCACGTAAAGTACACCGCAGGGATCCAATTCATTACAGTCATTTTTCATATGGCAGAGGGAAGAAATAGYTTGATTCAATGGGAATGTGATGTTTAGAGCAAAAATTTGCATTGAGTCARTCTGCAGTGTTCACACACAAAGAAGGGTTCACACACATTTACAGACTTCTGATATTACAGTAGACAATGAGAATATATTTCTTTCATTGATTTGGTTATTAATCTCATTATGGCACCTATTCATAGCTCATTTTCACAGTTTAGGAAAAAAGAATAAAGCACACATGAAATGTTAGTGTAGGAAAGCTCAGTGAAACAATTTTTACATTATTGCAATTATACGTGACTACAAAACGACTGCATAGAAGGATTATTTATTGAACTTCTATCCATGTATGTTTTCCTGATTTATTCCCATATAGCTGACAAGGTAAAAGGACGGGAAATTACCCAAGCACGGGGATATTTTCAACGCATCTGTATTGAACTGTATTGAATAACCTACTCTATTGCGAAATACCGCCCTTAGGGTGCAAAGGTGCCATAAACATTGCACAGATTAAAATCCCAGGCTTCATCCGACTATTACTCGCCCAGGCAGGGGCAACGAAGGAGGTGAAGAGTCTGGAGCACGTTCCATGAGGAGCAGCTGAGGGAATTGGGATTGTTTAGTCTGGAGAAGGCTCAGGCTTTAAGAAGGTTCTAGCCAGGTGGGTGGTGAGCCTCTTCTGCCAGGCTACCAGCAACAGGATAAGGGAACAGTCTTAAGATGCACGAGAGGACATCAGGTTGGATATTAGCGGGAATTCCTTCACAGAAAGGGTGACYGGGCATTGGAATGGGCTGCCCAGGGAAGTGGTGGAGCCACCATCCCTGAAGTTGTTTTAGGAAAGACTGGAAGTGGCACTCAGTGCCACGGTATAGTTGACAGGGTCGTGTTCGTCCATAGCTCGGAGTCGTAAAAAAAAAACCAACAAAAAAAAACAGAAAACAAACAACCGAACAACAAATGCAACTAGAAAGCCCAGCGGAGACCCCGGGCCTTTCAGCAGCTCCGCAGGTCCCTCGCTCCYAGAGGAAAAGGCAGGGACGCAGGAATACTCTCCCCCAGGATAACGGGGCCCGGCCG